TGTTAAACTTATTAGTAATTTCAAATCCATTACATATTTAATAATTTGATAAAACATTTTATATTATTTAAAAGAAAATGGTGTTCAACTAGTTACTTTAAGAGATTAATGAACAATTTTCTGCTCGTGCAAGAAATAAAAGCATTTATGCAAACGTTCTTTTTTTTTGTTTTTTTTTTTATAGATAACATGTTCCTTTACACAGACGGCCCAGGGAATTAGTAAGACAATCTTTGATATTTATTAAAGTTTCTTTCAAGCAGACGAAAGCGCGGGTAAGGACTTAGGGCTTGCTCGTTGAGGTGAAATAGGTAATAAAAGTTAATTATAAACAATCAGCCGCACGAGTCCAACCTCGCACTTACTCGCGCAAGATGACGCTCAACACAGTTTCCGGAAAATAATTGCATTCCCACAGTGGAGGAAACATTCAATTAGAGTATAAGTGAACATGTAATTAGCCCTAGTATATTAAAAACGCTGTGATGAATTGATAGAACAATTTTCAAGAAAACAGTTTAAGAGGAAGAGCACGTGTACGTCAAGAAATTGGATCAACATCCTTTATCGTGCTGGTATTCGAAATCTATTTCCTCTAGCCTCAGCTTGCAGATCGAAACTCACAGAGACCTATGAGTAACTTGAGAATGTTTTATATGGATTTGTTTACAGGTAAGGGCATTGTAAAACTCTGTAATAGGTGGCAACTTCTAAAATGCCCTATTTTAGATGTTAACATATAAAACACTGTGTTATACAGCATCGTATAAATTATCCTCTGTTGAGTAATACTTTATAAAGAACACTGTGATAGCTACCATCTTATAAAATAGCCTACACTAGGTAACAGTTAATAATGAACGACTTAACTGAAAGCTTGTCAACATCTTACAAAGTATCATATATTATAAAACACCTTATAAAGTATCCTATGCTATAAAACACCTTATAAAATATTCTATGTTAGTTAACAACTTATATTGTACTGAAAGCTAGGCTACATCTTACAAAGTATCCTATACTATAAAACACCTTATAAAGTACTCTATACTGGGTAACAACTTAACTGAAAGCTAGGCAACATCTTACAAAGTATCTTATATTATAAAACACCTTATAAAATATTCTATGTTAGTTAACAACTTATATTGTACTGAAAGCTAGGCAACATCTTACAAAGTATCCTATACTATGGCACACCTTATAAAGTACTCTATACTGGGTAAGAACTTATATTGTACTGAAAGCTAGGCTAAATCATACAAAGTATCCTATACTATGACACACCTTATAAAGTACTCTATACTGGATAACAACTTATATTGCACTGAAAGCTAGGCTACATCTTACAAAGTATCCTATACTATAAAACACCTTATAAAGTACTCTGTACTGGGTAACAACTTAACTAAAAGCTAGGCTACATCTTACAAAGTATCCTATGCTATAAAACACCTTAGTACTCTACGCTAGGTGACAACTTGCACACTATTTTGTCCACGGTAATAATAGAAAATCAGCACCATTATTTCTCAGATCATTGCATATCTTAGCACATTTTTTCTTATTGTGTAAGAAAAAGTATTTCTTGTTCTCTAATCATACTCTCGTTGTTATGACCCAGGTGGCACAGCAGTATGTCTGCGGACTTACAATGCTAGAAATCGGGTTTCGATACCCGTGATGAGCAGAGCACAGATAGCCCATTGTACAGCTTTGTGCTCAACAACAAACCAACTCTTTGTTATAAGGAATATTTCAAGAATAAGTTTGGTGCTAATTGACTTTTAGTGAACTTAAAAATATTTGAAGATATTGCAGAAATGATTTTAATCGTCTTTGTTTAGAAGATGGAAGGCTTTAAGGTTCATATGAGAATATGAAACAAGAAATACAAACAATTTAAATGAAAGTAGAAAAAGGTTTGAGAAAAGATATACCGAACTTCGACTGTTAAATATTTCATTTAATACTTATTGCAATTTTTTCTTTGGTTACTAAACAACAGACGTTTGCGTCAAAAGCATGTTCGTACGAGATGTAACCCTGTGTACACGGGTGGGATCAACGTGTGCATGTCATAACCTTTTAAAATATGCCATTCATTATGCTATTATGTACTTGATGTCAAAGTTATCAACTATTCATTTTACCCTAAATTGCTGAATTAGCAATAGTTCGTGGTAGAGTAGAATTAATACGATATAATATACTGAGAAAATCTGTATTTTTGTATTTCGGATTTCTAGAGGTTTTGCAAATGCAGTGTGCAAACTATCCGATAGACAAAAGTATTTTTATTCTTTTCGCAAACTTCACCTTGCACTCGATTTGTCAGACTGAGGTCATCAGTTCACAGACATATCTGGAGAACAAATACGTTTGTAACCCATCTGAAATTGTGTACAACAGACTTGTACATTTTATTAAGCGCTTGCCACACTTCCTGTAGATTCACATAATAAATTTGGAATTATAATCAACATTTTTTCTCCAATACGGGGTCGGTCTAATAGACCGAGTCTATTCACTTTCTAGCAGAAAGACCTTCTCCAACAACATTTTCTTCATCAGGACTAATGCTCCATGAAATTCTGATGATTGATGGCTTAAAAAGCTTTTTATGGGGAAATTAAATTAGTAAGTGACATGAAAGAAGATTAGGAAGAAAAACTGAAGAACAAACAGGTAAAAACAAAATGTTCTTAAGTTTTTTATAGAAGATTTACGCAAGTAGATGTAACACTTTAATAACAAAGCATCTCAATCAAGCCTATGTGCTCAGCTGTGCCTGTAACGATTTACCAGTCAATCGACCGTGTCAGTTGAAGGGGCGCTAATTTAATTCGGTCCACTAAGGACAATCCATCTTGTATTCAAACCTTTACTATTTAAATACGAAAGTGATTTTTTAGGTTATTTTTCTTAAAGTATAAAACCCGATGCTTCGAGCAACGGTTTCCCAAGTATTTTTTTATTATTATAACTCTTGAGATATAAAAATAAATTATCAATAAAGTTGGGGTTCATACATGTTGAAAATGTCATGCTTTTTAAATTCACACTACTCACGGAAACTTAATATGATTAAACTTAATTAAATATGATCAGTAAGCCTGAAACTAATGTGTTTGGGTTGGTTGTTGTTAAGCGTAAAGGTAAACATTGGGCTATCTGTGCTGTGCTCACCGCAGGTATAGAAACTTGATTTTTAATGTTATATGCCCTCAGAATTATTACCGCTCAGCCACCGGAGGAAAGAGGGACGAATCGTACAAAATGCTACGAAATCGCCTACTGAATCTTATAATTCAGTGAGGATAAAACTCAGGATAATTTTAAATAAGAGATAAACAAAGACATCTCAAACTTGGGGAGGGTTATTAAAATATCAGTACAAGCTTAAATACCCGTATAACTTATTAAGATTATAGCAGAGCATGAAATAACTGAGCCCAAAGAAAGCAGTATCTCCGCGTGCATTTCATGACTTCACAGGTTGTGACAAGACTTCTGCATTTACAAGAGAGGAAATAAAGCTGCATGGAAAGCGTTTGAAGATATTACACCAGCTTCTGAAGCTATGGAAAGCGTTTGAAGATATTACACCAGCTTCTGAAGCTATGGAAAGCGTTTGAAGATATTACACCAGCTTCTGAAGCTATGGAAAGCGTTTGAAGATATTATACCAGCTTCTGAAGCTATGGAAAACGTTTGAATATATTACACCAGCTTCTGAAGCTATGTAAAGCGTTTGAATATATTACACCAGCTTCTGAAGCTATGGAAAGCGTTTGAATATATTACACCAGCTTCTGAAGCTATGTATAGCGTTTGAATATATTACACCAGCTTCTGAAGCTATGGAAAGCGTTTGACGATATTACACCAGCTTCTGAAGCTATGGAAAGCGTTTGAAGATATTACACCAGCTTCTGAAGCTATGGCAATCGTTTGAAGATATGAAATCAGTTTCTGAAGCTATGAATAATGTCTCTAGGAAAAAGACCATAAAGGAGGTAATGTCTTTGCTGAAAAAGTATGTGATACTGATGCATGACAGAGAAAGCGCAAATGTAAACGAGTCTCGCAAGGAACTCTTTTCAAAGAGAGGCACACCAATTGATGCAATTCCTTCAAGTGTAGCAGTTCTACTTTAACACACTAGAAGAGCCGCATACCAGGTTGGACATTGTTTGGGACAAACATTTGGTGTCTGGACATTGTTGGGGACAAACAATGATGTCTGGACATTGTTGGAGACAAACAATGATGTCTGGACATTGTTGTAGACAAACAATGATGTCTGGACATTGTTGGGGACAAACATTTGATGTCTGGACATTGTTGGGGACAAACAATGATGTCTGGACATTGTTGGGGACAAACATTTGGTGTCTGGATATTATTAGAGACAAACATTGGTGCCTTTTTTAAAGAGAGAGGGGATAAATTAGAGGAGTTATATAGAGCCTTTTTG